CATTATAGAATTGCATTTACAGTGTCAGGATATTAGCCTTTGGTGAACCTAGAAAATTTATATGCAATAAAGAGTAATTGGATATTGTAAGTCACAGCCCATTTATATTAATTAAAATTTAGGTAGAGATTATTTATAAAGATTATTTCAGCTCAAATGACAGGACTAATAATAAATTTAAAAGCAAGGTGAAATAAACACAGTTATTTCTTTATTTTTAAGCTTTTTTTCAATGGCAGTTATCTTATATGATGCATGTTTTGTTTGGCTCCTAGTAGGAATTTGTTTTTCCCAGTTGATTGAAAATTTATATATCCAGACTTTTTAAAAAGATGAAGTAATTGCTACTGGATGAAACATTTGGAATCTGTTTATTCTCCTGGGTTTGCCTCTTGGTTTTCAAATGCTGGAGGATATATCTCTTATTTTCTCCGTTATGAGTTTGCTCAACTGTATCGTAATTTGAATTGGCCTAGTATATCTCTTGTATTATTATATATGTAAAATATTTTCAAGAAAATAGATACTGAGATTTCTTTATATATTAAAAAAAAAATCCACTGCTATTGAGTCGATGCCAAGTCATAACGATTCTTTAGGACAGTGTAGAACTGCCCCATAGGTTTTCAAGACTATAACTGTTTATGGGTATAGAAAGCCCAGTATGTAGACACTAATTAATAAGTATAGAAGGAGCCCTTGTATTCAGTGGTTAAGCAGTGGATGCTCACTGACACATCACAGTCCCACCAGCTGTTTCACAGGAGAAAGGGATGGCAGTGAGCATCCAGAAAGATTACAGCCTTGGGAGCCTCATGGTTCTAGAGGGTCTCTGTGTCAAAATCAACTCTATGGCAATGGGTAGCAAATACGTGAGAAGATACTTGTAATAGAGCAAAAAGTTTTATCAGTATCCATATCTGTATGTGAAAGTGAGGCTACGTGTGTACATTTAATAATTTTAATAGATTTTATATTTATAAGTTAGTAATAATAAATAATAAAGGTGGTAATATCATTATGATGCAATGCAAGGCACATGAAATTGTTTCTAACACCTGATTACCTGTATTTGCATCTGTTACTTTATGATGCTATATTATCTTTTAACTCAGATTTATTTTTATAGCTTATTATATGTAAATACCAGTAAATAAAGAGACCTACATCTAAATACCAATAAATAAAGAGACCTACATTATTTCATTTCTACCATTTACTAACTAGTATAAAATAAT